TACATTATATTAATTAATACGTAATTATACTAATTTTTTCTGAAAAATTATCAGTTATTTTATTTTTCCAAACTTATCAATAAAAAATTTAATTTAGCATTTTCCCGATATTCAGTATTTTATTATTAACCAAAGTACACTCATAATGTAACAAAAAACAAAATAAATAAAGATATACATACAGGTATGTAAGGTTCATAAATGAATTGAGCAATATTAATTTTCAGTGCATAAATCTTACAGATGTTTAAATAAAATTTTATAGTCAAAAAATACCCAAAATACTTTATTAGCACACTGCAAACTCTACTAGAAGAAAGAACAGATACTTCATACTGTTTGAACTTACTTGAAATCTACAGTTGTATTTGTCATAAAGAAAAAGCCAATCAAAAGACTGAAAAACTTGATAAGTAAATTCTGTGAAACTCATCCCCTCTTGACTATTCAATCTGTTTTGAACACTGTAAGATCACACAACACAAACATATAAAACAAGTTTCAGTACACAAGTTATAATCCTGACCTATAAAATGTTACCTGCTTAATGAAACTTCATCTTGTGCAGTCTGTTTGTAGTACTTCCCATAAAAAATTATTTTGTCATGATTTGTGAATTTTTCAAAATAATTTCCAAATGGTAATAAATTATTATAGAAATTAAAAATATTGTGGATTTGTAGTTCTAAGACATTGGTTATATGTCAATACATTAAAAGAAAGAAAAAAAAAGATACCTTTTCTATTCATGCACTATAATACAATTAATTATGACTTTGATCACATCTCTCTACTTACTCAAAAAATTTTCTCAGATGCTTATAAAGACAAATGTACAGCATTTTAACATATGACTAAAATATAAAATCAAAAAGCTATAAGTTTTTTTGGGGGTAAAGATGTAATGTCTTATGTTTATTGTCTGTGTAACACAAACTGTATTAGTTTTTAAGAATCATAGCATATGTAAATTGATATGTAGAATTATACTTGGACTTTTCTCTATTTTAAAATACTTTTCTTTTACTTGCGAGCTTTCGGCCACCTTACTGGAGCCTTCATCGAGCAAAATTTCTATGTAGAACACTGTCACAGTGATTTCTATTCCGATAAAACTCTAATATAAATCCAGTAAATATGAACAGCTTTGAATGACACTTTTAAGTTTTCAAGAATACTCAACTTTTAACTTAATAAGCTTTCCTTTATGAAGAACTTTAATTTGTATAAAAGACTGTTTGTTACAAGTAAGTTTCAAATCACCTGGTACGTGACAACATTTGTCCCAGTCTGAAGTGTCTTCCAACAGTTGAAAGAAAAGTGACTAGATCTTGGTTATTATACCACTCACTATTATGCAATATTCTATCAAGAGAAAGAGAAAAACACCTGTTTAATAAAAACATGAGTTAAACCACGTTATGAATAAGTAAGTATTCATATTAAATCAAACTGATCTTAATGAATAGTGATGAGCTTTAGAAGTCAGATGTCTTTGGTAAAACAACACAATTCTCTAAGCAAGCAGCAATTAGACCAAATTAAATAAGAACCAAACTTTTGCTAGCACCAAATGTCAATTTCCCTAGCATCGTGGACGAAATTATGCATACAAGTAAACAAAAATCCTTTTTTAACAACAGAAAAAAATTAGCAGATTTTAACAAATTCGTGTAATGGTAGCCATTTGATTTTCATAGCCTAACACTATTAATATCATTTTAAATGGCACTTAACTTTTGATATACAAATAAACAAGAAACATAAGTTTGTTGTATGCAAGTTAAAAGGTCTGCTTCATTGTATTAATACATCTATTACAGGTAAAAATTTACTGGGTCTGTCATTTCCAACATTTTCATTCCACAGACCAGCAAAATATTTAAAAAAAAAACTTTCAGCCAATTAAGAATATGTAGGCCTATAGCATTTTTTCCTAATTTAGCTTTGTCAAAAAGATTTCAAGTGAAAATTATGAAGTTCACTTATTTCATAATGAACTAAAATGGAAACAAAACTTTTCACCTGTTTCTAATGTCCAAATTATCAATTTCATTAAAATCAAATCTTTCACAACTTTTTTCTTTCTTTCTTTTTCTCTTTTCACTAAATGTTCTGCTGATTAGTGGTTGAGATCAGCTGCACTAGATGATAGTTATTGAATTAACTCAATGAAAAAAGTTTATGAGTTACATTAAAATCATATTTCTACTATATTTACTTTCAAATTTAACATTGCTCCATTAACTATGACAGTGGGTTATCTTCTTGTAACAAAACAGATATGTGACTATACAGTGACACAGAATGCCAAATGGAGGGTATAATTATCAAGGAAAGCGGCTAAGAACCATTTCTTGGTTACTGAGATGTTTGATATCAGTATGAAAAAAAAAATACTGCCTTAGGCTTATTACTATAAAACTTGTACCAAACTGTGTCAGTTTCATGCAAGATCAAAAGACAGGAAAAGACCCTGTCAAGTTCTATCTTAAACTTGATGCTTGTACAAAATTCTAATGTTAAACTCTGATACTGAACTTTATACAAAAAACTTACTATTAAACTACAATTATATACCTTAACACACTTGTTCCGGGGTTAATGCTGATGTGGCATTACTTAAGCATAAACTGTGAACCACTATACTTCTAGAAAATTGTTAAAAGGACTTTTTACATGTATATAGCCCTTAGAACTCATTTAGCACTATGAAATAAGCTTAACATAACCTGCAAATTTCACTAAATTCAAATATTTTATCCACAAAATTTTGTAAAACTAACAATTTACAATATATTTCCAGGTACAACTTTGAATATTAGAAAAAGATATGACATAAAAATCTTTTAAAAGAAAAATACATTATCATCATGTTTAACACATGACTAGTGACAACCAGTATATTAGGAAATTATTTAATTCCACAAATAACATGTATAAATAAACTTGACATTTCCAAAGTAAAAAATTATTGTTTTCTTAGTTCCAGCAAAAACTAGGAACAAAGAGTAATGTTTAGTTTTCACAAATTATCAAGTGAATGTAGAAGTTTTTACACACAAAAATAAACACACATCTGCTAAAAGGTATTAACAAAAAAAATTTTCACTTGTTTTATGAACACAAAATAACGATTTTATCTATTTGGCAATACAATCAGTAAAACTAATTTGCACACAAGCTTTAAAGAAAATTTATGTCACAAAATTCAACCTGGTCTGTTCCTTTAAATTGGTTGAAGCAGTACAGTATTTTCTCAAATCTCATGAATTATATACTGTTGTTAAACTGTTATTGATAATGGTAATAACTTAATAATGAAAGTATTAATATTATAAGGAACATATTCTTTAAAACAAAGTTTTAATCTAAACTAAATATCCATGAATGTTGATGTTGTGTTTCCAGAGATTACCCAAGTAATGCACTTTCAAAGCCACAAATGTATCAAATTTATTTCACTACTGAATCAAAAGATATGTACATTACAACAAGAGTGTAAGTATGGATAAGATTAAATGAATATTTAATTTAAGTTTCAACATTAATGCTATGTTTTAATTCACTTCAAACTAAAGATTTTATTAAATAGATTACATTACACATAGTGACAGCATCACCTGCCACTGAATCAAGATTTCCTGTAGTCCTATTTTTGATCAAGTGCTTGAATAATAGTATTAAAAAAAATAACAGCATACTTTATGGGATTTAAAGGCTTAATTCTTTGGCCTTTAAGGGGAAGATTTTCCAAACTAACTTAAAAAGGCTTAAAAAACTATAGCTCTGTTACTGCATACCATAAGATTGAGGAAGAGTTACAAAAGTCTTAAATAAAAATGTTTACTGTTGTGCAACAAGTTTTTTTAGATAAAACAAGCATGTATTTGCATTTTCTCATGCACATTCCTGACAGATTTCTCTAATATATTACATACTTTTTATCTAATTTTTGTGGCACTTTTTGTACCAGTTTCAGTTCTATTCAACTCATCTTTCCTTACAGGCCTGGACAACTACTAAAGACAAATTTAAAAAGGCATAAGTAATTTTCTAAAGCCTTCAAGAGGTAGTAAAATAATAGTTTCTTAAAGTTTCTCATAAAATATAACCTTTTAAAAATTATTAATCCATTTTACATAATCTATTATATCATAAAATATTTTGTGCTTCAAAAAGTGAATAATAATAATAATAACACATTTAAAGTATTGTGGGCTGAAATCCTAGCAGTAAATGTACATACCGAACAGATGAAAGATTCTTTTTCGGTTTTGAGGGGTTCCAGAAATATTTTTCATGGTTTTCAAATAGCCTTTCCAAATCGGTTTGAATGCATTTACTATTTTTGTGAATATCCAGTAGACTCAAAGCAGATCTTTCTGTGTTACGTCCACTGGGATCTCCTATTTGAGCAGTGGCGTCTCCTATCTAAAATAAAAATAAAATTACAAATGCACATTTTAATTTTCTTTAAGTGATTTGAAAACTTTTTTTTAAATAAATGACAATTATACGTACATGGAAGAAAAAATTTAAATAAACAGTGTTTCACTGAATTTGTATGATGCAAGCCCAATGAGATTATATACGAAGGTTGCAGAAGTATCATCATCATGTTCATCCCAATGCTCTTCATCTTTATTGTGACTTCCTTTACTAAGCTACACTTCTGCTAACTTCTTGTTCTCATTATACCCCCCTGAAGCACTATAAATACTACGCAACTTGGTCATGTAATCTAGTTATTGCCTGTTGATTATATTTTATTCAAAATTTAAGGTATTTAAGAAAAAAATACCAAAATCTTTGAAAGCTTGTAAATTAACATTTTTCTCTCCTGAAAATGTATCTCTTATAGAGACCTCCACAGACAAAATAGTTTCCGTCCTCCAGTTCATATATTCTGCCAAAGGGATCTGCAAGCCACCAGCCTCGTAAAAACTCCCACCTAATCTTATGTGAAACCACATTATTTGCACCACCTCACTGCATTTTGATGTCATCAGGCAGCAGAACACACCATTAATAGGAGTATGTAATGACTCCCTATACATTTATGCTCATGTAATTGTATTATTGGTTCGTTTGAATATTCTGATGTATCCTAGTTACACACGTGTGGGGTGACCTGTCATACTCAACCAAAAGAAAAGAACTCATCAGGTCTAGAATTATGAACATGCATCCTCACTCCCTACTAAGCATTCCACTTGCCCCCAGAATTATGGGGAGGGTGTGGAACCACGATGTCCAACCAAAGACCTAGGATGGGACTACTCTGCATTCAGAACAATGAGGAGGTAGTGGATTCCCTTTTATGAACAATGAACTAAATCGAGATTGATCAAAAGAAGGGCCGGGTACACTCCAACTGGATAGCCGAGTGTCAAATCTGAATGAGTAGGCTCCCACATAGGCTGGTGCCACTCCTACCTACATCTGGAAAAAAACATCCAGGGACCTGGATAGGAGGGCCCCAACTTTGCCCTCTTCTCCAAGAGTGGATGAATCATTTGAACACTCTGGAGGAAAAACCTCTGTCCACCACCCCAATAACTGGAAACTGGGTGTGGGAAGGACTCCCTAGCTTCACTAGTAGAATCTGGGGGGTAATACGCAGTGGGGAGTGCTCCAGAAAAAGTGCAATAATTGAACCAAGTTCCCTAAATTTTTAAAAGCAAACCGAACCTGATTTATTCAATCCAAAGATCGGAATGGATGGGCAGAATACCCTTTAACTTTACTCATGATAGTCCAGCATAAAATAGTAATATCACCCGGTGAGCTCCGAGGTGGCCTTATGGAACACCTCATTTCTATAGAGCCTCTACAATCTGTAATAATAATAATAATAGTAAAAAAGTGAGTGCTAGTGTGGAACTGGAATGATAAAAGCATACCTGCGGGGACAACACTTGCCACAGACTGGGATCCAGTGAAATGAAGGTAAATGGACCCTAGAAAGAAAAGAAACCATATAAAGGGGAAAAAATACTCACCCCTCGTTAGAATCTAGCAGACGTAGTCAAAACAGCCAGAGGGGGCAGGCAAAAACCCTCAGAAGAAGAAACTGACAGATCTTTTAAATAATGAGAGCAGAAAGTATTAGTAGAAGTCCACATACTAGCCTGCACGATATCGTCCAGCAGGCAACTCAAATGGGCTGCTAATGATATAGAAATATGACGAATATTCAGATTCCTCTCCTGTAAAGACAGTCTAGAATAAGCAATGTGGATGAATTTGCAAAATCACGTCATTAAGGTAATAGGGGATAAATCACGAGAAACAGTAGGATCCCAATGAATAAACAATCTGTTCCTAGTACCCCTAAATGAGTTAATATGAGCCACATAACACCTGAGGGCCCTGACAGGACATAACAAATCGAGATCCGAGCAGTTGTAAAGGTGAGAAATGGCTGGCAAGTGAATTGGTGAGAAGAATTTATCCCCTTCTCTGGCTGCCAGGATCTTTGGAAGGAAGGACCCATCTGGGTATAGCAAAACATAGGTAGAATGATAAAGAGTCCTGTGCACATGCAGTGCAAACAACTCAGGATGACTATGTCCACACGCCAACAACAAAAAATACATCTTAAGAGAAAGGTGATACTCAGAAGAAGAAGCTAAAGGCTCGAAGGGATGACGAGAAAATGCATGTAAAATGACCTTAAAACCCCAGTTAGGTAATTTCAAAGATTCAAATAGGCTGGATATCACTGGGGAGTCAAAAACCTTCTTATGTTTAGAATACCAACAAGTAGTAGATAAGGATGCCACATATAACGCAATGGTTGATGAAGCAAGCCCTTTTTCAAAAAGCCAAGTCAAAAAACGAGATATGTTAGACACATTAGAGTAAACAGGGTTTAATTTCTTTTTTGATACAGTACTGGCAATAAGTTTGCCATTTCCATTGATAAATGGCTATAGTGGGTCTATGGAGAAATTTAGCCAAATACAAAGCAACTTTAGAAATTAAACTCCTATGTCATGAGAAGGACCACATAACTTCCATGCGTGAAGTTTGAGCTTCAGAATTTCTGGGTGTAGAATGTCAGATCAAGGTTGTCAACTGAGATGGCCAAAGAGGAAATGGCAGAGGTGAACACTCTTGAAGATACCACAGATGAGGAAACCATGTTTAGGCCAACCATTACACAGCTACCAACAGCACTCGACAAGGAGTGCAATGAACCATAGCCAGAACTCTGGGCAACAGACAAATCGGGGGGAAGACATACAGATGCAAACCCATCCAGTTCTGACTGAATGCGTCTATTGCCAAAGCCTGAGGATGAGGTGCCTGGGCCCAAAACACCTGTAGTTGAGAATTCCAATGAGTGGCAAAAGCATCAATCATGGGAGACCCAAACTGGGAGCAAACCCACTGGAAAACCTTGTGATGTAGGATCCACTTGGTCGGGAGAATCAAGTTGGGCTGAGACAGATGATCCATTCTTAAATGTATTACCCTGGAACACTGCAAGCCATAAGACTGATAAGATGGGAATAAGCCCAGTAGAGAAGATCCAAAGTTCGAAAACAAAGGTCACAAGAAAGCGTGCAAAATATAAGATACAATCGTGGAATTGTCAGAATGAATCCTGACAATTTTCCCTTCAAGAGAAGTAGACCTTGAACAATTGCCTGTGAAAAGATGGATCTCAGGGCAAGGAGGCAGTAGAGGAACACCAATGGTAGTGTTCCTTCAATCCAACCACTTGAGATCTAAAATGATCCATTGGTTGTGCAGTATCCACTGAAGGGATCTCACATGTTGTCATCCCAAAGGAATGAGATTCGAGGGATGCCCACATCCCCAAATGAGAATGAACCATCTGCACAGTAGGAGGAGACGTGAGTAAAAGCCTGACCACTCAATCCATAGCTTTGAGCCTGATGGGAGTTGGCTAAGCCCGACTTCAGTATGTGTTGAAAAAGACAAACATATGGGCGAGGTATTGAGTCAGCAATAGAATGGATTTCTCAGCTCTGATAAGGAAGCCTGCCTTAGTGGCTTCTGAAAAAAGAAACTGGGTTTGTTGGTCTGCCAACTGACAAGATGGTGCCAGAAGTAACCAGTCGTTCATATAATGATGCTTGTATAAGCCCAAAGAATGAAGGTGACGAGAAAAAGCTCGTACCACTCTGCAGAAGACATATAGTGCAAATGCTAGGCCAAAATGAATAGCCCTGAACTGCAGACGTTGGCCCCTGTGCACAAAACGTATAAACTGACAAGATGGTTCTACTATGGGAATGTGGAGATATGCATTGGTAACATCAAACTTGGTCATCCAAAGACCTGGTAAAAAATGCCATCATAGTTTTAGAAAGGACTCCATCATGAACTGAGGAAGATCTAAGAATTGGTAGAGCCAAGAAAGATTGATGATTGGATGCCAATCTCCTGTCTTCTTGGGCACAACAAATAAATGGGAATAAAATCCCGGATGAACAGGAACGGCCCTCTCAACTGCCCTCTTAGCTAACAACTACCTTATAGCTTGGGAACAAAGATCCACTCTCCATGGATCTGTTGGAGGCAGAAACACCACAGGTTGGGAGGATAATGGAGGTGGAGATGTAAACTGAATGACCAGCCCCAATGCCAGAACCTGAAGTACTCATGGATTTGAGTCTAGTTGTCCAGAAAATGATGTAATTGTGCTCCCACATACCCCACCAGCATGGGATAGTCACCAATGCTGTTGGTGCTGGTCGCCCCTAGCAGAGGAGCCTCAAGGATAAGGATGGAATATACTATGAGAACCAATAGATCGAGGAACTGAAGTTGAGGGTCGGGACACGTGACGAGCAGATATGCCCAGACTTCGAGCTTCAGCAGAAGAAAGTCGAGAGGCCAACGACGATAAGGAAGAATGCAAATGGGCAACATCAATCCATGATTCCAATGCCTCTGGAATGCCAGCAAACAACAAGGGATGGAAAAAGGGTGCCTCCATAACTCATGGAAGGCGACAGCAAGCAGACGAACTTCCTCTAACTGATATCCAATAAATCCCAACAACATACAAGCCAGGAAACCAAAGAAAGAACAGAAGATGACAATCTGACCATAGTAGAAGTCAGCAAAGGCCGCAACTCGTCCTCAAGTTGATGAGGGGAATGTTGAGAGGTTTCTGACAACAGCTGGAGGGAAGACAAATATCTCAGGTCAGTCTTGAAGGTCAGATGAATCCGAGAAAATTGTGATCTGTTCAAAGTGATCACAGGTTCCAGTCTGGAACCCCACAGGTCCAAAAGGGGGTCCAGTCATTGGGAATCTAAATGTACATCCTCCTGGAAGTGATAAGCCAAAGCATGCTGTTCCAACAAACATGGTGGACAATGCATAGCTATCCTGTCAAGTAACTGTGTGACAAACCTCCCAGCATGAATAGCAATATCAAGTGAAGGAGAAAGAACTAAGTAGTCACCCTCAAACCTTTCTGCCACCAAGGAAGAAGTAGACTGAAAGGCAACTGGGGAAAGCCCCAAAACCTCACAAACCTGATTGACTAACTGAAGAAAAGAACAGAAGGTGGCTGATGGAAATTGGCCTCGTGAAAAGTAAAACTAGTAAACGAAGGTGTCAGAAAAAGTGAGTCCAAATTGTCCCTAGAATGTCCTAGATCATTGGCAAAAGCAGCCTCAGAGCCCCCAGGAGAGACACCTCCAGTCTGAATATATGTCTCCATCTTACAACGAATCAACTCACGGACAGCCTCAACTGAGACTGTTGAGAGATGGCAGATGACAGAGGTGGAATGGGGGAGTTCTGGTTAGCCTCCATGTTGGAAACATTAACTCATGATTCATGACGAAAAAAAAGGTGTGTCGAAGAATTTTGTTTTGTAGTAAAATATAATTGTCCAGAAAACCACAAGATGACATAAAAATAGCAACCCTAGACGTTAACAATTACAGCATTCCTGTAGAGAAACCCATCTCAAACATTTTGTCAAGAAAAAGGTTATAATATTATCTGAATGAGGTGCTTATATACAGTACCAGGATAGAGTGTGCATTGATGTCAGTGGAGAGTATCATGAGACAAATATCGCCAAGGGCAATTGAGTGGGGTATAGAATACTGAAGCAAGTGAGAAAAAAAATCAGAACAATGCTTAATTGGGCAAAGAAATAGAAACCATGGAGGTTAAGTAATAGTTACAAGTGTCAGCAGATGGTAAGTATGTTTTGGAAAAGAGCTTTCATTATGCATTTAGATCACTAGCCTATGAATTCTCAAAGCTGAGATACAGGCAATTTGTCACCATGACAACTGAAGTTGAGAAACAGTGAATGGCTGAAATCAATAAAACCACACTTGAAATTACAAGGTCCAAATCAGAGTTCTTCAGAATGTATATTGCATACTAAAGGGACTTAGACATTTTAGTAATGAAGTTGAAGAAAAAAAAACCTTCACTCTCCAGATAATAATAATAATAATTTTTATTTCAGCCAACATTTCACCTATGCAGCTTCATCAGGGTTAGTAATAGCTACTACTTCTATGTCAGCAATCAATTTAAGATTTTCAAATTACATAGATCACTTCATGACTATAGATAATTAATAACATGACTTTCCACATCGTGGAACCTGTTTTAAAAAACTAAGCTCCAGGGTGCACATGACATTCAGCACTTAAGAAAACACAAAATTGATATATCTAGGACTTACCACACTAAGAATTACATGTCCTAACCTCTGTAAATGCATTAACACAATAATGACCAGTAAATGACAATATATCTATATATATAAAAGAGGAAGTTTGTTTATTTGTTTATTTTGTTTGCTATAGGAAACCAAACAGTTGATGGTGCTATTTATTTTGTATTTGGTGTAGTATTTCACCCCGAAATTGGCAATCAATTA